ATTCAGCAGGCTAAAAAGAATAATTATAGCCAGGGCAGGCATTAATCAGCTTGGCAGATACAGGAATTCTGTTAACAAGGCTAAAATGAGTGCCAAGGAATCTCTGAAGGCCACAGCACTTCAAAGACTGAGAAGCTGGATGCATTCACTAGGGTTCTCCTGYGAGCCCTCTTTCTCCTGCCATGCTTCCTTTCCTCAGAGCAGGTGTAGTGACCTGCTAGAGGTTGCAGTTATGGCACCCCAGAGGTGCATGCTGGCACTGCCACTTCCTTCGGGAACTGCCTGATCACCCCAGATCTTATTTTTAGTTGCATTCTTGCTTGCAAACCACTATCATCCTTTTTTGCCCACATTAATCTCTAGCAGTACACGGCACAAGGTTGTGTGAACATGGGTCAGCTTCTCCTTCACAGAGACAGAGTAGGATCCTGAGATCAAATTCTGGCTCTGCTGTATCATTTTATGCAACTGGGCAAGTTATTTAACTTTTTCTAGGCATTGGTTTCCTCATCTAAAATAAGGAGAAAATAATGTTCACTTTTTGCAAAACGTTGCTGTGAAAAAATAAGTGACAGAATCTATATGTAAGAGCCCAACACTTGATATGCAGTTTATAACTTATCTATTATTATCTGGGGCCTCCTAGGTGCAGTCCTATCCAGAAGCTATGGGAAAACAAAAAGGCTGGGGATGAGGCTCAGTGGTAGAGTGCTTGCATAGCATGTACCAGGCCCTGGGCTTAATCCTCAGTATTGAAAAAAAAAAAATCAGTGTACAGACATATAACACACATACGTATACAGAAGTGTCTATGGCTAGGCAGGAGGATGACGGCGTTTTTCACTTTAAATCCCTTATAACTGACACAGCGACAGCGAGCTATCCCCCTAAATTCGTTCTTCCTTTCTCCCCCAGTAGCTGGCATATGGCTGCCAGGCTTCTCTGCCTCTCCCAGCTTCCCTTGCAGCTAGTGTGAGATGGAACTAAATTCCTTCCCACAGAAATGATGGTGCCACTTCCAAGCTTGGCCCACGAAGCGGCCACATATTCTACTACATGCTGTTTCCTTTGTGGGACTACAGAAGTGATGAAATCATGGGCTGGAGATAGCAGAACTGCCACCAGCCTGGTGCCAGAACAACTGTGTGGAACAGAGTCCCCCCCRAAGCCTACTCTCTGAAGCATCCTGTGGACACTGTTATAGAAGACACTTCACTGTTTGAACGTCTAATCTTTGAGTCTATTTGTTAGAGCAGTTTAGTCTCCCTAACTAATATAATACTCTCCTGTCGTATTTGAATTTTAAAATATAGATGTAATGCTTTTGTCATTTAAAACCTATTTCAATGGATTTGCTGGAAACAAACAAACAAATAAAATTTAAAATAGATGTGAACAAAATGTGTTAATTCCCATCCACAATCTCCAGGCCTTCCACCCTCCAATTCACACTACATACTAGTTGAGGATTTATCCTCCTCAAACATCATCCCCCTGTTGCGTTAATCTCACCTGGCAAACTTTTAATGGCTACTCATATCCACAGATAAAAAGACATATCTATGGGGCTAGGATTGTGGCTCAGAGGTAGAGCGCTCACCTAGCACACACGACGCACTGGGTTCGATCCTYAGCACCACATAAAAATAAAATAAAGGTATGTGTCCACCTATAGCTAAAAAAAAATAAATATAAAAAAAGACATATCTATTCATATATATTCAGTTGGCCAATATTTAATCAAAAACCCACTTTGTGTTATATGCCCTGTTAGTAATAGGACAGAATAGTGAGCAAGACCACATGGTCCCTGCCCCTAGGGGATATAATTAGGGTAGGGATTTAGACAGGGGACAGACAGTTACAACCAGTGAAATAACACAGGCTGCCTGGCAGCACCCAGGAGCCAATAAATCCACCCCTTACTACCCAGACTTCTCAGCACAGCAAGCAAAGCCTCCAGCGTCTACCCCAAACCCATCTACCCCAAAGCCATCTTACAATTTACTTCCCCTTTTTCCTAATCCTCCAAAACCTCATTATATGGAACTCATGCGCCGCTTCTGAGTGAATCATGCACTTTCACTCATCCACTCTTTACGCTTTTCCCCAGAGCCCRGAATGCTCTTCTATCCTTTCTTTCAAAATTCTAATTATCCTCAAGGCTCAGCTCAAATGTCACCTCTTCAGCAAAAGCAACCCCAACCCCCAAGTCAAAATTAATCATCCTCTTCCTTGCTTCCTACCAGCACTTGGTTTCTACTGGGGCATCTCATTCTGTCTGGTAGTTAGTTGTTTTATCATCTGTGCACTCCCCCCCCCACCCCACCAACCACTCACTCAGTGAGAAGCTGTCTTGGTTATTTGTCTGGGACACCCAGTACTGAACACACTATTATGGACAAAGGGAGCACTCAGGAGATGCCAAGCTGGACGGATGGACAAGACAACTCAGACACAGTCAAGAGAAGTGAACAGCTGCCACAGGAAGCTGAGTGGTACTGATGAGGTCCTGCTAAGGTAGGCTTCGCTGGGAATGCTTCATGGAAGAAGTGAGTTTCAAGCAAAAAAGGAGATACATAAACAAGGTATTCTATATATCCTATGCAAAGAASAGCAAATGAGTCACTTAGAATGACATGTCTGAACCAGAGAGAAGACCGGAGGGGAGAGAACACAAGGGTCAGCCCCTCCCTAGCAGAAAATCATAAGGAAATGAAGAGAAAAAGTGGATTAAAAAAAATGATCTTTTAGCAAAACAATGAACTTAGAAGGGAGGCTGGGGGGAAAGGATGTCAGAAATTACCTAGGTGGGAACCTCCAGGACCTGGACTAAAACTGTGGTTAGAGAAACCAGAAGGATAGGAAGCAGCTTGATCCTGTGCTACAGGAAAATAATAATAATAATAATGAGAGATAGTGTGAAGGTGAAGGTCACAGAGAACAGTGACACCAAGATTCTATGAAGGCTGCAACACTGGAGGAAAGATGATTATGCTTATCAATTACATTTCAGGATAAGTACAGGGCTAGAAAGGTGTTAAAAAAAAAAAAAAAAAAAAAAAAAACCTTTCCAGAGGTCAAGCTGAAACCAAAGCACAGGAAATACCGAGAGTCAGAGCTGACAGGTGGAACAGCAACAGTTCAGAGAACCATTGGCAAAAAGGCATTGGCTAGAGACACCACAAATTCCTGGTGTAGTTAACATGAGACACCTAACCAGGGCAGGATAAACTGGGGTACAATTAAGATTTCCCAAAGCTGTGCTTTCCCACTTACATTTTATTTTTGCCAGTCTCTTTCTGCCCACTCTCCCTTTGTCTCCCATGCCCCAGTTACTCAAAGGCATTCTTTTCAAACTTTCTATCTCACCGCACCCTTTTGACTGATGTGTGAGCTGTGAACTGCCCAACTCTAGGGAGAGTCGTTCACATAAACTATGATGAACAGGAACAGGAGCTCCTAGAGTTGTGCAGTGCATCGCATGTGCAACCATGGGTCATGGCCCTGCTTGACAGCAGACACATAAGTCAATTAAACTGTGTGAACTATGGCCAGCAATGTGCAACAAATGTGGATCTTACAAGGGAACCAGAGTGCAGGAAAGATTAAAAGCTCCAGGATGGTGGACCACAGGGGAGATGCTACAAAACTAAGAGGACGATCCAGAAGCTTCCTGAAGATGGGTTGCATCTCAAGCAATGTGGCTGGATGAGCTCTCTGAGGGAATGAGTTTGAGAAAACACCTCCCAGATGGAGGAAGAACACAAAAGCAGCTAGAAAGTCTGGCTTACTGGCTGCAGGAGTCAGGGGGCTGGGCCCCAGGGCCAGCAGGAGGGAAGTGGTGTGGAAGGCCATCACTGGGACCCTCTGCATAAAATACACAGTAGTCACTTAACCCTGCAGTGCAGCTGGGGCCTGGCTGGGGACAGACAGCACCACGTGCTCTGCAAAGATTCAGATCTGACTTCTCTCGGGGATTGGAAGAGAACCTGTGACCAGGTCTCAGGATTCAGCTTGTCCTGGTTGACACTTATTATATAGAGACCCAAAAATATTAAAAGCATTTAAGGGCCAGCCCTCCAGTACCATGGTGGACACTTAACAAACATATTCCCTTAGTTGGTTAAGATCATCATGTGTATCTATGTGGAGATGGTGACTGTGTATAGACTGAATGGAAAATGGAGAGAGAAAAAAAAAATTCATGAATGATTCCTTGAGTGGGGGGAGGGAGGGCGCTGGTCCATCAAGAGCCACCCCGGGTTTCCAGAAGGTGAAAAGCAAGGGACAGTGGGGGTGGGGGGTGGGGGGCAAAGTAACAGGTAGAAAAAGTTGGAAAAGCTAGGCACTTGGGTCTTTGTGTATAAACGTGAGGCTAGGCAGCTTCAAGAAAAGCTAAGACAAGACTGAGGCAGGAGATTCAGCCGCGACAAAAATGACGGCAGGGACCGCACACCGATTGTCATTGTAACGCTCCGGGCCATCCCGTGACCTTCGTGGAAGGAAGTTGCTGGATTCTCTCGCTTCCCTGGAAAGGCTACCCAGCGAGGGCTCGCGTGTGTGCAGAGCCATCGGCCAGGGGCGGCTATGGCGGGGCGTATCAAAGGCTCACATTTCCGCTCTCAGGCTGGGGACGCGGGCCGGGACCGCGGGCACCTTCCGGGGCCGGGAGTTCAAGGTGAGCCGGGCTCCCGGCGGCCAACAGGTAGAGAGAGCTGGGGGACCGCGGGCCACCGGCCACTCCCCCGGCACATGTGGGGGGCGAGGCTCGGCCTGGCGGAGAGCCTATGTGCACCCCGCGCGGGGCCGGGCCGCTGGGCACCCGGCTCGGGGCGGCCCCGCAGCCGCTCCCCGCCCGGGCCGCCCGCGCACCCGGGTCTCCCGGGAGCCGCCAGGGCACCCCCTGCGCCCCAGGCCGCGCGCTGCGGCCGCGCCCCGCCGATCCCCACGGGGCCCCGCCGGTGCCCCGCGTCCCGCCGAGCCCCACGCTCACTTACCCAGCGACAGGAGCGCCAGCAGCAGCGGCCTCGGCGCCAGGCGCCCCATGCTCGCAGGGCGGGAGCGACTCTCCCCCTCCTCCTCCTTCCCCGCCGCCTCTCCTCCTCCTCCTCCTCCAGCTCCGGCTGCTCCAGAGTCAGCGCTCCTCCGCTGGGCCGCGCGCCTGCTCCGCTCTCCTCGCGAGCCGAGAAATCCCAGCGCTGGGGCGTACGTGCGCCCCTGGCTCGGCTGGCTCCCTCCCGCCTCCTTCCTTCCCTCCCTCCGCCAGGCGGCCGGCCCCGGGAGCTGGCCCCGCCGATCCCAGTGTACAGCCCCGACCGCTTCCCGAAAGCCAAAGGGAAGGACCGCAGCGCCCGCCCGCGCCTCCCATCCGGCGCTTTGCCAGCAACAAACACAAACTTTCCCAAGCCCCTCCCCGCTCCAGGTAACGGAGGAGGCGCCGGGGCCACCCGCTTAAAGGGGAGGCGACGGCCGAGCCCACCCAGCCCTCCCCTCGGGCCCCCACCCCATGAGAAACTTTCCTCCGACCTTTTAAAGTTGGCCTGGGAAGACTCGTCTGGAAATCCCATCGGTTTGGCCCTATCCCGGGACGCCCCGAGTTCTCCACTTGGGAGTCACCCACGCGTGTCTGCTCTTCCCTCTGCCAACAGCGCGCACGTTTTCCTTCTCCTCCTGAGCTAAGCACCCCACCAGCCTGCTGCTTGGCCCTGGTTAACATGATTCATACAAGGCTGAAAGAGTTGTAAGGACTTTAAGGGTCATGAATTCCAACCTTCTTTATGGAACAGAGACTTGAAGTGTTTGGGTGACTTATCCAAAGATTCAAGCAAAGGGGCAAGATCAGAATGGAACTSTGACTGTCCTGTGGGCCGGTGGGCTTGCTTACACCAGACCCCTCCCTCCTCTCCAGGGTGCCCATGACTTTGATTAGAACAACTTTCCACAAAGACCCTTGCTTTAAAAAGAAAGAAAGAAAAAAAAAGCATATTAATAGCTAGAGTACTTCATATGGAATGTACTCTTAAGATTTTATGTTCTTTGCTTTAAGTGGACACAACTGGTTACCAATAAAGACTCTTTTTCCCCCCACAATAGACTTTTGTACTTTTTTGATTTGAATACAAAAGGCTCTACAGTATTGGGAAAAATTTTTCCTGTTCCTTGTTTGAAACTTCACAAGGATGATTCAGACATACAAGAAGCAGCACTGGTAACCCACTGCCCCCTCACCATAGCCTTTCATTAATATACTCAAAACAAATCACAGATGTTCTTGGGGAAACTGACCAAGCTGCAGAAGAACACTGCTTTTATTCTGGTACATTATTATTTACACCAACAAGTGATTAGCCAGGTATGAACCCTACAGAAAGAGAATGACAAATTCATTCCTGGTGATGGAATAATGTGAGTTTACTTAATGCCCCCGAACAGTACATTTAAACATGATTAAAGTGGTTATTTTAGTGTTATGTCTATTTTGCCACTGTAAAAAAAAAATTAATTTCCTTCCTACAACTGAGCCTTTCCCACATTGTTTACCCACCCTGTTATTCTTCTCCCTCCCCATCCCAATCCTTCCCTGGCATTTCTAAGGGCAGTTGTTGTTGTTGTTGTTGTTGTTGTTGTTATTATTATTTCATTCAATCAACCTTGAAAACAAGCCTTGGAAGATGCTGGAGCTACAGAGAAGCTTAAGGCCTGGCTCCTCCAGAAGCTCGGATTTCTGCTCATCAATCTTCCTTTCTTTACCACCCAGAATGCTTAACGTCTGGACTGCACATTTTAGCACTTGATCACGTTCAGTTTAACACAACATGTGCACTGCTCCCATCTCTGTCTAATAATACAAGAACCTAAGCGGCTGGCACCTTTTCATCTTGTATCCCCCACATTACTGCAGAGTCGATTTTTGCTAAAATAAATAAATAAAACCGTCTTGTTTAACAAACAAATGCAAGTCTGAGAGTGTGCCTGGCACATAGCAATTCCTCAATATGTATTGATAGAGCGAATGAATGCCAGCTAGATCCTGAAACTACAGGAATGAGTCAGACAGTTCCTGTCCTAGCAGTGCTTATAGCTCATGCATGATGGACTATAGGTGCGGCAGCGTGTGCAAGGTTCAGTCATGACAGAACCAGGGAGTGGCCTGTCCTGGGGAAGGTTTGCAGGAAAAAAAAAAACAAAAACAGAAAGGATGACTGTGCAGTGAGTCTTGATATATCAGTAGGTACTCAGTTGTCAGGTATGAGGGGATGAACTTACAATAGGTGTTGTCTATTAAATGTGGTAGGGATTCTTCTCTCCTCCCATTTTGCCCTCAGGTGTCATCAAATTAATGGTGCATCTTACAATCATGAAAATAACCATAGGTAATAGCTGAAATGTGAAGAATAAATAAGACTGTCCAGGTAAGGCAAATAGAATGGAGACTAAGTAGACAGCCCATAGGTGACGGGCAGTCAACTGTGTCATGAGAATCAACCAAAGAGCCATTTTTGTAGCAGAAAGTGAGCACAAATGAGTAACTTCAGACCACACTGTTTGCATGGCCCTGACTACAAACAGATAAAATGTTACCAACGAAAGAAGTGCAGCACCTGCAGCAGACAAGCACAATTTGTTAATTCATGACTCTGGAATCTGTTGATGCTTTTATTACGGCAGACATTTATTTGCCTTAGTGAGTAATCTGCTGTATAGGTAAAGCTTTTGCCCCAACCAATTGTTCTCAGATGATTAGTGAATAGACTTTCTAGGTGCAGGAAGGCTCACACCCACTAATTCTAACTAACTMACCCCTACCACCAATGAGGGTGAATCCCAACTTGGCTGTTCTTTGTCCCATCACACTAATCCTCAGTACACTGGCCCCAACCAGCCACTGTTCTCTCTTGATTACTTCTATCTGTCTGCAGGTATTGTCCCTGAAAAACCTCACAAGAATCCTCATATGCTCTCCCCTCAAACAGGATTCCCCGTTGAGATAAGGCAAAAGCAGTATATTATTTAACTTTGAAAATGAAAATGTTAAAAGTTCCCAATAAAAGAATTTCCTGAATGTTCTAAGATTCGCCCAGTCTTAATATCTTAACCTTATTGCTGCCACCAGCTCATGCACAGCCTCCCCATGATCTGACCCCTACTGCAGCAGGGTCTCAGGGAAAGGAGGGTGTTCCATGCCAACTTTTCATTCCATCAATCATTTTCATTCAAAAATAGGCCTTGTTCTGTGTCCAGGTGTGTATTTCCCCAGTAGAAATTAAACAGGGACTACTATTTAAAAAAAAATAATAAGAAGATTTAATTAGAGAATGGAGGTAAGAGTTTAAAAGGGAGGAGTGGGGATAGGAAGTCATCATTTCCTGGTGAATCAATGTCATTCGATTTTGGATTTTGGTGAAGCCATGTTGGAAGTGTGGGGTGCCCATCTGAGACAACCTTCAAAACAGCAAGGAAATACGCTCAGCACTCTTCTCCCTGAGGGCTGGTCCTGCTCTGTGTCCTCCCAACCATCCATCCTTCCCTTCCTTTCTTCAGCTCTAAAAGACTAAAGTGTGAGAAATAGAGAAAATGTTCTTAGGTGACTTAGAACTGCCCCTAATTCCACCTCCGCCAAGCCAAAAATGTCTCCCAAGCACCACCTCCAGAGCAAACACTTGCCCACACAGTGTTAGTCCCACTGGGGGGACACCGGGGTGGAAGAATGAGGAGAAAAAGGAGGAAATGGAACAAGAGGAGGCTTTTGCAATAAAAATACTCTATAAGAATGAGGTTCTATTATTAAGAGTGGGCATGGCCTTGGCCTTGGCCCTGAAGTAGCTTCTCATCTCGTTTAATGTGTTGAAAGACATGCTGCAAAGGATGGGGGAAATGATGACACAGGAAGAGCAAAGGAAATGGAAAGAAAGTTAGGCAGATAAAAGAGGCACATGCCATATTGTGGAATATTCTGTGCATATGCTATCATCAGTGCTGAAGTATCTCCTAGAATGAACAGAGGTAGTAGAATAAATGGTGAAAAGGAAGTACTGCCACATTCAGGAAGTTAGAAATAGCTGTGGGGGACCACTAGATGTTGAAACAGATTCTCTACCCACGGCCATGGCTGCCAAGCTTGGTGGTGCCCCAGTGTGTCCGGTATAGCCCACCTTGTGCCCTAAGCTGAGGTGGTGTGCCAGGGAGGGGGCTTTTTCTCCTTTTGGCAAAGTCTTGGCCCTAGCCTTCACACAAAAGTGTGGGGTTGGGAGAGGAGTATGGGCCTGTCCTCCCTCCCCTAGCCCTTCTCACCACATTTGAACCAGACTTCTGAGTTCACCTGAAACTATAAGTTCTAGGCACTGCATTAAAAAAAAAACAGTTATTAATTAAAATGCACCATGAGTAGGATTGCTGACTAAAAGACAGGATGCCCAATAAAATTGTAATTTCAGATAAACATGGAATACTTTCTTAGTATATGTCCCAAATATTCCATGGAGTATTCTTATACTGAAAAAGGTATTCCTTACTTGTCTAAAACTCAAATTCACCTGAGCATTCTATATTTTTATTAGCTAAGTCTAGCAAATAAAAGATTTATTGGAAGATTCTGGAGAAGACAATGTGGAAGACTCTGAAGAAGACAAGATGGAACTCTGAGTAAGCGATCTTCAGATTGTTTGGAAGTTTATACTTGAAAAAAGGAACAAACTTCGCTAAGGGATATTCTGTTGAGTCACTGGGGTAAAAATTGCCACAAGAGAGAATTTGGCCTAGTTTGTAATAACCAGAGCTAGCTCAAAGCTGAAGGGAGCTGGATTATGTGGCGCTATCTTCTTTTCCCTAAAACCTGTTCAGCCAGAGGTTAAATGCCTGCCCACATTGGAAGCATCAAAGGGTAACTGCATTAGGTGAGTCCTACATAAGTTAACCTGGAGGGATGTTCTTCCCAACCTCAAGATTGTGCCCTTCATCCAGGTACAACCAACTCTTTGGTCCTCACGTGGTCCTTGTCCCTGTAAGACTCTTCCTTTTCCCCCTAGCACTGGGTTGGATGTTTGCTCTGCAGCATTAGAGGACAGAGAAACTCATGTGTAGATGCCACTGTTTCCTGTGGAAAGCTAGGGTTACTACCCTGCAAACCCATCTACTCTCTACTGGAGAGAACCCACAGATCAACTACTATTCTAAAACCAGACCATCATTTTTCAGGAGCATCTTCCCTTTTTTTATACACTTTTGTAGCTCATAACCCTTCTTTAAGT